TGGGTTTCGGGGTCGTGCTGAACAAAACCTGCTTGTAGAGTTCTTCTGATGGAACATTATAGAACAAGCTGACGTGGATGTGGGTTCAAACCTGAGCACCTTGCTTGACTGGGGCATGAACCGATTCCTCGTGGGTTCCTCGTGCTTGACCGGTTCATGCACGTGTCAACCTGTCAACCTTCTATGGCCTTGGGGGACATTGGGTTCCGTAACGCCAACGCAACGCCAACGGCCCATCCACGACCTGTGTAGCCACCTTCGGGCGCACTGCGAAGCCTCTGCACTGAGCTGAACAAGGTCAGGCTGGGCCCGGTGGGCCTGAGTGGAGGCACAGTTCGAGGCACCGGTATAGCCGTAGCCCACCCTACTTATTTAAACATGGTGCATATATTTGCTCTGTGTATTTCTTTTTGCAGGACAGCCAAAAAGAATCCGGCCATTATGACGGGTGACTTTGTTCGTTGCCCCAGGCAGTGCGCCTTGTATGTCGTGAACCCATCTGACAACCCCTGTTTTGCGGAAAAAAAACATGGATAGTTGTTATGAGTATATAGTAAGGTGCAAACAGGTCCGAAGTGGAAGAAGAATGCGGACAACACCAATTGCTCAACCACAAAGACACAAAGAGACCACATGCACCGTCTCACTTTCTGAGTAGGGTTTCAATCTTCCAGTGCCCTCAAGTTCACGACCAACATTGCAAATAATTCAAGCTGCAGGGGGAGAAGGTAAGGCCTGAACACAAAACGCCCCATCTCAAGGCAAAACAAGCACCCAGAACGGTGAGCTGATGCGCTACACGCTAAGCATGTGGTGGTTTCACTTCATGGAGTGAGACAATTTCTGTCTCCCCGGCGAAAGGGAGATCCTTCGCAACACGGTAAGCTCAGAGCGCAGTCGGCTTATGTAAACACATGAAGGTCAAGGCGAACGGGGGATAGCTGATTCACCGAAAGGAAGAGATCCCTGCTGCACAAAAGGTGATACTGGTCTGGCTTCACTTCAATCTCATTGACATGAATCAAGAAGGAGAACCCGAGAAACATGATGAAATTGCGACCTAGCATATACTCCAGCCATCTTCAGCCCCTCTCCACATAACCACAAACTGTCGACCCAGCGGCACTAGATTGCCGCCTCTCAACCACCATAGCTGCCGCTCGACCACTCTGACCACTCTCGTCACCGGGGCTTGCTGCAAGGCGGCTTGATCCAAGAATTGGACGATGAGTGAATGATAGTGAATGAAACCATGTAAGCCCCAGTCTATTCGATTTACAATCTCATCCACTTTCTCGATCTACTATATTGTGGATGGGAACATGAATGAAACGCACAGATTTGAGGCTGCCCTCGTGTTGGGACTCGTGTTGAGACTACAAATCCCTTTGTTCCTCCACGGGTGGCGCGCCCGGAGTGCTGCAGACATGCCCAGGAGCATGGCCTCACCTTCGCGCAAAGGTGGGCTATGGTGGGCTCTGGCACTCTGAAAACTATCCGATGAATGAACACAGAAAGACACAAAGAACACATCCATACGGATGAAAACTATCGGATGAATGAAAGCAGAAAGACACAAAGAAAACATCCATACTGACTTGTTTCATTTACGTATATATTTATACCTACTTTCTGAGTGTTGTCATTCAATACCAGCCGCAAGAGAAAGACAAGGTAAAGCAAGGTCAACTTGGGCGCTCTACCTCGTTGTAGTGTTATTGGAGCAGAAGCAGCAACAGGATGCAACAAAAAGGGTCTTCCTTATCAAAACAACTGGTGACCAGTACATCTTTTGGATAGACAAATCTCGTGAGATCTCGGGGGTAATTGGATTCCTAGTTCTGTGCCGGGTTAACCCGGAGAAACAAAAACACCTATTAATGACAAGGTATTGCAGGTACCTTTAGCATGTGATTGTGTGCTTAAACTTGAAACCAACATCATCACATGCACAGTTAGATTCCAGCAAGTAACTCTTAGGGTATAGACGGCGGCCGAGATGACCAAAGCAAAGCATGGATGAGGTAAAGGAAAACAGCAACCATAGAATATCGCATAGCTTATCACATAATAATCATCTATATGGGTCGTTGCTGGTACTCCAATGCCACAAGTCTAGGATCTGATACCTGCAAATCCAACTAACGAGAATGGGCGGGAACACAAACAACGAAACCAATGAAATCAAAAGAAACAACGACTAAGACTCTGACTATTAACCAACAACTTCACCAGCAAGATCCGAGCGAAACACCAAAACAACTTCTGCAATTCTCTGTATAAGACGTGTTTCGCTGGTTCCATTGGTCCGGTCCATATGCCACCCTGCATACCTTCTAATTAGTTCATTCACTGAGTAGGCCATGACCGGGCCCTCCAAACACCACCCCGGCTCCAAACCCACACCACGCCAACCGCCCAAACACCGGGCGTCCCGGACCATGTTCAGCCTCAGGGATCCGGTGGAGCACCGTCTTGGGGATCTGCCCCTGAGTGAAGCGCACCGTAAAACCGGTCGTCGGTTGAAGCAGCGGTGGCTTCCGGTTTCGGGTGATAAGGGGTGATAAGGGCGGAAAGGAACACGGGCTAAGTAGTTAGTTTGTTGTGTGTTTGTTGTTGAGATTTCATCTGTGCTCTGAGGCTCTGGCTGGATGAACATGAACATATTGCAAAACAAAGAAACACAACAGCAACAGCAACAACAACAACAACAGCAACAGCAACAACAACAACAACAACATATTTGGCCAGGTTTCATTTGCTGCAAACCCAGGTTGTGGGGCTGTATCCTTCTAGCCATTGTTTTCAGGACCTCCAATATATATATATATATACATATATCTATATACTTCAACTTGATTGACTTCGCCCTACTGGCTGCCATAACTCTCACACTTGGCCGCACTTGCCCATACTGCTAAAATACCAAACGTATTGTTGATTATTGAGGATTTTCTCACACATGAAAATCGCGACTGCAAATACCACCGAATACCCCAGCAAAGTGCCTGGCACATTTGACGACGGTGACAAGTGCTGTGGAGGAAATTTATGATGTTTTATCTATAGCTATATCACTTTGTCTTGCCTGCCGGAAAATCCACTGGCCCCTTCTGACTCTGAATACGCCCTGCATTATGGACAACAAACACACATGGCCCACGGCCACGAAATTTTCAGTCACCGGGCCTGCAACCATTCAGCGCAGGCCACAGGCCTCGGTGAAAGCTGTGCTTCTGACAGCTATAGCCGATCCCTCCCCAGCTGTGCCAAGATGCGCAACGTCTCATCATGTTGAAATTGCATTTTGATGCGAAGGTTGATGCTTTGATATTTGATGTACTCTGCTGGAACGCACTCCCAATTTGAATCGCATTGGATTGCGGCAATCCGCACGTTCCAGGAGCATCAATCCCCTCCGCCTGCGACCCTCGGCCCGTTGGAACGGGTCCCGGAACGGGTCCCGGTGAGGTCGGAAACACTGCCAGGCGCTCCGAACACGGTGGAATCGCCGTTGCCATGCAGAAGTACCTGGGGCCAATGGCATCGAACTGGCGATGGTGAACCAGTTGGATGCATGGCCGAAGTACTTCAAGCTGTCCCTGTACACTGAGGAGGGGACGATTGAAATGGTGATTCAGCATTGGTTGATTTCGTTGTAGGTTATAATATAGGGTCCGCCCTTTCTCACAGTCGTGAAGGTTGACATATAATATAGTTTTAAAAAGAGATAGTGCGTCCTGTAAGGCAAAAGGCTGCCAGTATCAAATGCCTCGGATCAAGTGCCTGATCCTTTCCCTGGTTACGATCCTGTTTGAAATTCAAGCAGAGCGGTTCATATTCAAAGCTGAGATAAGGCAAACTTATAAAAAAACGGGAACTGTCAATGCACCAATTGCAAACAAAGCACTTTGATCAACCGACGCATTCAGAACCGGCGGCATGATCGTTTTTCACAGTCTGCAACGGAGGAACCGGAATACCTTTATCAAGCTCATTCAAAAAAAAACAACAAACATTGCAGTGGGCCCCAAATAGATAGTGGCATGGATCCAATACATTTTTAGTGGGGATCTACTGGGGGTCTCTATTATTTTACAGATTATACACATATTCTTGCAACCTCAACAAGAAGAATGCTAAGGGTCAGGGTCTTGAGCAAACCCATCATAATGAAAAGTGTCACCACTAGCCTGAAATGTGTTTGTTTTCAGTGTTTTCCTGGTCACTGGTGGCTCTGGATCCATTTGGGCACTCTCCACAACGGCCTTGAAACGTTGTTGGGGGGGACGAACTTGAGGTGTGTCTACCTTCCCTGAAACTACAGCCACGTGGACAAGGCTGCCCATGAATAACATTTGCTCCACAGGGCACGGAACAGCGCCTTCACCTACTCCGAAGAACCACACCTTACGACCTATAGGCTGTTCAGTATCCTTGGCATGGTATTCAGAGCTGCTTGCACTTCATGTTGAGCATTGAGCAACCAAACTGCAAATACCCCACACAATTCCTTTGATATGGCGACTCGGCGACTCGTTCCCTAGCCCTGGCTTTACTCGGTGACAACCCTCTTACAGGCGGGCAATCATGTTGCTACTAAACATATTGCACCAAGTCACTAATATAAATTCAAAAGAACTCCAGGAAGCACATGCTCATTTACGAGTTTGATCAACTCCCCCCAAACCCCCATCCCCAACAACCAGTCTGCTCACTTGCGCAAGTCTCCTTCCAACCACTCAGGTGAGCAGGGAGGAATAAATTGAACAAGTTTCAAGCTGTTTTTTGGATCAGGTTTCTCTCTACACAAATCCATGGGATCACGCAGCCGATTGTGCCAAAACAGAATGGTAAACCCACTAAATTCATCGACACGTATGATGGAGTTCTTGGTTCCTGTGAATCAATTTAGTTGCGCGCCACAAATCGCACCATTTTTGCCAGGCATGGCAAGCTTTGAAGCATTGCGATGGTAGGTCCTGGTAGGTTGCCATCTGTCAATGCTTCTCAATCCGGGCTCGCTTAGCACTGGCCTCTCGCAACATCAGAACTATTTCTGAATGACCATTCTGCTCTGCTAAATGTAAAGGAGTTAAGGCAAATCCGGCAACATCATTGCATGAGGCTCCAGCATCTAGCAGCAAGCGCACAACTTCTGGGTAGCCTTTGGCGGCTGCAACGTGCAAAGGAGTTGCATTGTTATCAGTCCTGGCCACAAAACAAGAGGCTCCAGCATCCAGCAGCATCCGCACCACGTCCAGGTGTCCACTCTGAGCGGCATAGTGCAAAGCTGTTGAGCCGTCATCTGTAGCTGCTGAATGAGGAGAAGCTCTGGCATCCAGCAGCAATTGCACCTCTGCCAAAAAACCACCCCTTGCGGCCAAATGCAAAGGAGTTGCACCATTCTCTGTTACCGCCTGACCACACGATGCTCGAGCCTCAAGCAACACACGCACCACTTCCACGTGGTTATATAGAGTCGCCAAGTGCAAAGGCGTTGATCCAACTCCCATCGTGACATGATCACAAGACGCCCTGGCATCAAGCAACACCTGCACCACCTTCCCATGGCCATTCAAAGCAGCGACGTGCAACGGAGTCACGCCATCCTCAGGTGTAGCTGCATCACGAGCGGCCCCAAAGTTTAAGAGAATCTGGGCGACCACCTGGCGAATCACCAAGATGTATCCAAGAACGTCCCAGCATAACCCAAACAAACATTCTCAAACGACTGCTTCTGTGACAGTAGAGTTTTACACTTGGGATTTTGTCGGGAGCACATGTACACTTGTTGAGTGGAGTGGGTGGAAATGAGCACTTGACTTAAATCTACCCCAGATCAACCGCCTTGAAACTATTGGATCTACTGATTCATCTGAATGTCTCTTTTGCCTCCAGCCTGGCATCCACTTAGAGCTGCGCTATGCAAGGGAGTGCCACCATTGTCAGTTCTGGCTCGTTCCTTGGAAGCTCCTGCCTCCAAGAGGTATTGCACCACCTGGGGGGCCCGGGGCAACAAAGCAACATTGTCTGGCGTGAACTTCAATCAGGATCTTCCAACTATGCAACATGTCTGCCGAATTGGCTGGTTTAGAGATGAACTCCAGTCAGGTTTTAGAGTTACAGTTTGGCATACAATTTGCACAGTAAGGTCTACCTGGAAGCCCAAACAACCAGAAACGAATGGTTGTTCCTATATATGGCTTGCTTGGAACCCTTTACGTACACTGCCTGGAACTAGGGATTTCCAACGAATTGTTTCTGCTTGGGACGGGATTTCCAGCTAAATGACCCGCAAATACCCACACGACCGGTCCAAATCCCTTCGCTTCAAAAAGACTGAGCCAAAAGTGCCAAAAGACGATAGACACAAAGGAAGAGGAGGTTGGGGTCCACTTCCATCTTAGGGGGTTGGATATGGTCGGAGTGTATTGGTTGGCCCTCATTGGGGGTGAAACACCCACGAGAAAACCACGACCCGTTTTGGCGCAACCCTGCCTCCGGCTGCCCTGAAAGGCATGCGAAGTGCAAAGGACTTTTGCCTTGCTTGGTAGAATCGTCAACCACCCCTGAAAGCTATGAATTAGGATGGCCCTGGTTATGGCAAAATAACACTTTGAAAACTCCAAAACACAACCAGAGAGGATCCAGCCTTGCGCTTTCGTGACCTCATCAACCTGAGAGGATCCAGCCTCGGCAATGGCTCAGAGCACCATGATTGGAGAGATTCATCACCCACAAACCAATCTATCTATATAGATAGATATTAGTGTGCTCATAGCTTCTGGTTTCAAAATCCTTTGGACGAAAGAAGAGGTCCGTTCTAAAATCGCTCCCCCACCACAACTAGAGGGTCCAAATCAGTCAAAGCGGTTTTAGGACCATAAAAGGTCTACATTCGACTTCCGGTTCCGGGTTCTATGGATGTTGTGGCTTGGTTTTCGGAGAATTCCATCCCCGAGACGCCCGTGACGGTTACGGGCGCAGATGTTCAGTGTCCATGTGGTTGATGCAAACTCCCTTCATTTCACTGGGTGTCTAATGAAAGTTATTCCGGATCTTTAGTGGTGTTCGGAGCATTTTAGGAGTTTCATGTGAGAGTCCTGATTGCTTTTTAGGAGTTTCATGTGAAAGTCCTGATCCCACTGAGAAAACAACCACAAAAAGTAGGACCAAGTGCATAAGAAAAGTTCAGGAGAACATGTCTTTGGCATGGCAAAAGACTCAAAGACTAATTGCCCTTCTCATGCACTGAACCACTTGTCTGGTCACAATCTTTTCAAAAAAACACCCACCAAGCGGACCGTTGTCCAGCCGGAGTTGACCGATGTACTCATGAACACTGGTCCAAGACAAGCAATGTAGCCCATGTTGATGGAGACCACGGGTCGCGCAGCTTGGAAGCTGATTTGGTTGGCCAGTTGTAAGAAGCTAAGTGGCTTCCAAAAGCAAGCGCACCACCGGGAGGCGTCCGACATCTGCTGCCACATGTAGGGGAGTTGCACCACCATCATCATCTGTCAAGGTCTTCTGAGTGGAGGCGTCAGCATCCAATAGCAAGCGAATGATGTCCAAATGACCGTTACTGGGACCAGCGACCGTTCCTGGGACCAGCGACCGTTCCTGGGACCAGCGACTTCCGTTCCAATTTGAAGAGGAGTATGAGGATGAACAAACAGTTGTGTGTGAAGTGGGACATCCTATCCCATATTCCCTCTCCCGGCCTCTACCCCCATTGTCAACTTATGGCAAGATGTTTCCCTCACAGTTTGCCCACAAAATCCCAGCAAAAGATTAAGCTTAAACCAACCTCACCGGCTCTTGCTGGTTCCCAGATTCAGAGCTGCCAAATGCAAACCAGTCCATCCCATATCGGTGGTGTCTGGGTCTTGGGGCCGCTGCAAACTCTGCTCCACCTCCTCTAGGTGTCCTGCGACATGCATGGACCCAATGGACCCACAGGATGCAGCAAACATGTTCAAAGAAAAATTGAACACTGTCACTCTGTACAAACACTTTTAACAAGAGTTACAGTGGAATCAGTAGAATGTCCGATCCAACTCAGATGGTACTTTCCGGCAGGAACTCCTCACACATTTCCTGGTGTTTGCAAAACACAAGAAACATCTTGCAGGTCACAACCATGTGCGTCAACACGATGTGGGAACTCCGTCGTTTGGCTCACAAAAGCACAGGCTGGCCTTCTTCGCAGGCCAGGATGAATTGGGCGTCCTCTTCTGGATCCTTAAACTTGGTATAATTGAAAAGAAAAACAACAACAGCACGTCCTCGTCCTTCATCTATCAGTTACAACTTGTTTGCTCACTGTTTGTCTAATCTATCACAACATATCACAACTATTTTTGGTCTATAGCAACACCCCAGCCCAGGAGCCACGCTAGGCCATGGAATGTTCACCCCAATTTGGGCAATGATATCTTTGCGAAAACTCTTTGGGGGTTTGGGTCCGTAGTACTGTTTCTACTCCAAAATGCTCCCAGACCTGAAACAGCTTGATCATTTGGGCCAGCTAAGGGTCAGGTGGGCAAAGGGCCAACATCACCAGCTTCAGTTCCAGCGGCAACATCAGCGCGTCCTCGTCCTTTATCTCCACACTGCTGTCCACATGCAAGAGTCTCAACCGGAACCTGCAGCGTCAAACACATGGACGTCCAAAGTGCTAAAGTGCGCTAAATTTCAAGCACCTGAGCTATGCAGGAAACGCGTCAAAAGACAAGTTCAAGTGGTAAGGCTCTATGAGCTTGACACAAGAGCATACTTACAGGTACACAGCAAAACGGTACACAGTAAAATAATGTGTTCTTGGCCAAACCGGTTTAACCGTAGCAACAAACCGATCCAACAAACTAATCAATGCTTAATCACCTCGAGATCCTCTGCAAACCGAGAGTAGAAGTGAGTGTATCCTCGATTTAGTTTACATTTAGCAAAGTACATCTAAGTACTATAATTCACGCAGCTGACATGGCTGAGACTTACTAAGACTGACTAAGATCTATAGTAAAATCAAAGCTAGGTCCAAAGTTAAGTCCTGACTGAGTCATGGCTACTTATCTCAAGCAAACCTTAAGAGATCAAAGCCCTCAAGCAAGAGATTCTGATGATGAATTCACAGAATTAGATCGACGTCCGGACTTCGACGTCCTATCGAACGGACCTGACTTCTTTTCATCGATCCTTAGGACTTCGTCTAGCGAGCTAAGCGTGCTCCCCATCACCCACCGCTAGCTCCCCAGTGGATCCTCCAATGTGGAGATTGCTGAACTGGAACAAATAGAACATATGTAACTCTTCCCCAGTAGGGGGATTCATCCATAAAGAAAATTAGAACACCGCGCTGAGCAAAACCAAATCCTTGTCCCCCACCTTGTGCCAAACTGTCGTGCTGCCAACTCCAGCTTCAGTGCCCTTCCTGTGAGGCTGGTGCCACTGGTCCGCTCGGTTTGAAAGTCCTCCAGGCTGAGGACCAGCAGGACTTTGCCCGAGCACGCCGACACCACAGTGAGCCCCATGGGTTCCAGGGACCACGAAGTGAATGGACAAGCTAAAAAATAAAGAACATGGGATGGGTAGCGGGCTCTACTTGTGAGGAATCTTTATTTAGAGATGTGTACTGAAGGCCACTAGCTTGGTATCTTTGGTGTCCAAACAGGCGTCGGTCAACACAAACCATTTGGAGAGAACAAACACACATTGGCAATTGGTTGTGCTGCAAGTTGTGCTTCTCTTCTCTGCCTTTCTTTTGCTTTGGAGCCACACTAGTGCAAGCACATGGGGAATGATTCAATTCACATATATCACTTCTTGCATGCCTGTATGAATACCTCGACAAATAATTTCACAAGACACAAACAAAACTGGTAGTTTTGGAGAACGTTACGTTACCCTAATGATATATTATATAACGTAATTCATTTACTATGTTAAAAACAAAAAATGAAATTGACAGAATGGAACAAGAACCTCTCCGTTGGCATGTTCCTGCACGAGAGGGCCATGCTCCATGTTAATGGCCAGTAGACGCCGTAGATGGTACGTTGGGGAATCTGTGAAACGGTTGTTTACCAGATTGAGAAGCAACATACTAACGATATCCAAAATGATCCAAAATGTAGATCCCAATCAAAACGTGGATGTTGCAAAGAAAAACACCTATTCTTTTCTGGCTCAGCACTACAATTTAATTGAACCTGGCTCAAACCCTTTGGTTTTATCACCCACACGTGGCACACAGCCCTGGTCCAGGCTCACCATGGTACAGCGGAGGTGTTGATAGTCCACACCCCAGCTGTTTGCACTCCCCACCTGGCCGCGAAACGGGTGTCGACTCGCCATCGTTTCTGCGGCTAAACGATGAAAGCATGGATCTGCGAGCTAAACGAGTGTCCTTCCTATCAGGGTCTAAAAGGATGTCTGGCTTCCCTGATAGTCCAAAATACAGCCCTACATCTATTTCAGGAAATGGATGGATTGCGTTGTTTTTTGCGCTCAAAAGCACAACTTCTGTGATATTTACTGTAGACTCGTGATGAACTTCCCATTTGGATGGTAAAACCTCTGAATTCTTGTGGAGGGTTTTATCAATCCATTAGTGTTATAAAACTGTCTCCACATATGTGATTCATACCACTATACATATATTATGTGATGAGCAAACCCTGCTTAAACGGTTTTGCGAATGGATCAACGAATCAACAAAACTGTCACATGGAAGTGGAATATGATGCCTGTCCTCAACAAACAGGTAGACTCCACTTCCATGGAAGGTGTTGCCATGGATGTCCCTCCTAATAAAGGTCTTGCTCAATCGGCTGGGATGGACATTGGAGCAACCAGCTCAGAAGTTCATGGCAACTGTTAATGTGTGCCCCTCACCTCCTTAGAAAGGTCAGCGGAACTTGGAAGCCTTACAGAGCTTCTAATCTCCCCAACCATTCTCAGCTCAAACACCTGAGAACTGCTTGAGATTCAGAACAAACAGGTGGCACAAGTTGAGGTTGGGCTAGTTGGGCTTCTTGAGAGTCTTCCGCCTTCACAACCCCCGACCAATTGCCCGCAGGCGCGGGCGCAAGCGGGGCAGGCGCACCAGAGTTGCAGCATCTGCACCTTCGCCACCGGTCTCCTGAAGGGTAAGGAGCTGTTAGTGCATAGAGAACCATTTTCCATTGCCCTTCGCCTAACCTAAAGAAACAGTCTAGTTTAGTTCCCATCCTCCTACCATATGCAAAAAGCATCTTCTAGTCTAGCCAACCCACCCGCATCTCGCCCACATCACTCTCCGCCTGGCACATCTGCCAACCCCCTCCTGCGCCATCTGCAGCAAGGAGGCGCAACGCTCCATGAGCCCATCAACCTGCCAAACACCCCGATCGACTGGACAGCCGAACCGACCGAATGACTCCGAACCTGAATCACACCGCTTGGGTGTTCCAAACATCACAGGCTCAAGATGTGAAGATCATGGGGTCATCACCTTGGCGAATCGAACGGTCAAAAAGAGATCCCAGTCGTTCGACCTCAATGCTGATCCTGAAGACGCGACTGCGACGACGCGACAGTCGCGACTGCGCTGTGTAGGGACTCGGAACATGCAGCCGACGTAGTGGTCCAGGCCTCGCGCTGGTTCTCGGCATAGGCCTTCTGCTCTAAGACAGAGACCTTCAAATGGGAAGCAGGAAGGTCTAGGAAGAAATCTTAGGAAGGCTCTAAGAAGCAGGAAGATTGGATATAAGAAATGAATCCCGGGTCTTGAATTTTGAGAAGATGGATGACTCATTCTCCAAGTAGAAAATGCGGGGTCGAACCCTTTCGTGAGGGAATTCTAACGGGGAGAGAAAAGTCTACTGGCCTCAAAGTGATAGATATACCGTGGCAATGGTAGTTAGGGTACCTACCCTATCACACTACATCATAATCTATCCTTTTTGGAAAGCTGTTTCTACTTCCTGCACCAGGTGCAGAATTTAGGTCAAGTTCCAATCAGCACCATCATGCACCAAGTGGCCAAATGGGAACTAAACCAACCAATGGTCAGAAAGCCAGGTGTGATGAAGAGCAAAGAATGTACTCGAGCCTTACATGGACTTGATAGAGCCCCAGGACGTGGTCAAACAGCAGAACGCGTCGAGAGACTTCCTGCCAGTCATCCAGCCCTACTACACGATGCAATTGACACAGGTGGCGTTTTGCTTGGGTCATTTGTGGCACCCGGAGAGATTGTCGTGACCTGTTTCTGTTTTGTTGTTGTTGTCTTTTTCTGTACCCTTCCTCAGCCTTCTTGAGGAACTTCCCAAAAGAACGCGTCAAATTCGCCGAATGGATTCTATTGGATTCCTGTCATTCTGTGGGACTTTGTCACTAGGAATCAATTCCACCACGCTCTGTTCCCGTTGTTGGCAGCTGGACCTGTCTGAAACAATGGCTCCTTGCTCTGCCCAAAGTATCATAACCCTACTGTAAACAACGCCGGCAACTTGTCCCACCCTGCTCCAAATGTGTTTTCTTTGATCCGTCTTCATTTGATGACATGCAGCTTGGATGAAGCTTGGAGGAATCAAACAATCAAGGATGGTGATTTACACAAACTTGCCGGAGAGAACCCAAGTTGAAGAGTTGAGCGCTGTTTGTTGGCAGATGTTTGGAGTCTGCAGGATTGCAGATTGGCCAAGCGGCTTGGGTGACTTCTGTGAGGACGCTGGACAAAAGAAACCAAGGCAAACGGTAAAACGGGAGTTGCCAAAGTTCCTTGTTCCTTGTAAAGGGGCAAGGGTCAGCCCAGGAGTCCAGTGACTAGTTTTGGCCAAAAATGCTGTGCACACGGTTGCCTCCACGTTGTCATGTTGCCCAGCTTCCTGTCTTCCATGTTGCACTTGCCCCACTGCAAATCCATCTACAAATAGGTTCAGTGCAATTTCTCAACACTCTACTCTAAAGATTCCTAAGGCGTTGGACGTTCCAACAACTCTCCCATCTGAAGTGCCCATCTTTTAACACCAAGTCGTTGCTACACATCTCAAAGACTAGGCGCCCCAACCGCATTGACCTCTGCTGGAGGGCTCGTGAGCCTAGGAAGGAAAATCCGAGCCGACAGGGATACGTCTAGACCGTCACTAAGAATGTATTGGAATGCATTTCTATCTATTTGGGGACCACTATAGCTCCGAAAATAGCTTAATCCAACCACCGTCATGATGTTGCAAACACGGCTTCTCTTTCCGGGTTTTAGAGCTGTTGCACCTGTAGTGAGCCTACCTGAAACACCCAACCCAATACTTGAGGCCGGGGGTTGGTGGTGAAAACTAGCTTCATCTAATCTAATTAATCACATGGCCTCAAGATGGGGATGCGCGGAAGAGGGTTCTAGCAGTGGATCATTCACTGGGGAGCCGCTGCCATGCCCCAGCCAATGCCAATTGCCAATCACTTGCTAAAGCAAGAGTAACTCCAGCTGAAACTAGCATTCGTGAAACATGTGAAAACATCCTCAAGCCTCAGGAGGTATGTGGATTGGTGAGGCCATGTAACACCAGAGGCCTGTAGGATGGGTGCAGTGCCTCTGGGGCTCACAGGGGCTCCCAGGATGGCGGAGACAGCTGGTTGGTGTCTTCTGGCATGAAAGCTCTGCGATGGGTCTGATTTTACACGTAGAGCTCAGTCTATGGAGGAATGCCAAACAACATGGCTTGTCAATTCCTCGAAGCCCTTGCCGCTTGCCAGCCAGGCACATTTGCAAATGACCCAAATAACTTGATGCAGCAAAAGTGAGCAAAAGAACCGTTCATTTTCCAGCACACATTTTTTCGGAGTGGTATAGGCCACTGTCCAAATGCTTCAAAAGACTGGTCGGACTCCTGAACTCGGCAGATTCACAGGGTTACCAAGTACCAACAGCGAGCACTACCCAACATCTTGGAGAAGCAAAATATCATCCTCATCAACCACAGCACGCCACTGACAAACACCTTGACCACTGCCAAAATGCGAAAGCACGCTTCACCTTATCTGCGCAAATGGAAAGGAACATTTTGTGTTATGGGAAACCAGAGTGGCTGCTGATGTGCCCCTCAACTTCCAAAACAAGGTAAAAACAAGGCAAAGCAGAACTCGCTTCAGCTGAATCTGAACACCTATCTATGGATCAAACCACCTTCTAAATCCTTCTAAACGGATGGTATCGGATGGTTTTTGCCCTTTGAAACATCGACTTTCAGACCTTCTCCATGTGCATGGTTTCTCTCTTGGAGCTGCCTGCTTCACCGCCTTCCCCGCCGGCGGCGCGGTGAAGCACCGGGTGCTCCGCACATGGAGGAGGTCGGCAGCAAGGAGGGCAGCGAGGAGGGCAATGCCCAGCCGGAGTGAGCGGAACTAGGCACTGAGCGAGTCCAACCCACCTCGATATCGCCCGACCCGAACCGACCGACCGGGACATGAAAAAAAGAAACACAAACACACTGGATACTCCCAAAAAAAGTCACTTGTATGTGGTTATGTGATGTTATGTGGCTGTATCGTC